AACCCCCCTGCCAAAGCAGGGTCACCCACAGCAGGCTGCACAGGACCTTGTCCAGGGGGGTCTTGAATATCTCCAGAGAAGGAGACTCCACAGCCTCCCTGGGCATCCTGTTCCAGGGCTCCGTCACCCTCAGAGGGAAGAAGTTCTTCCTCCTGTTCAGATGGAACTTCCTCTGCTTCAGTTTGTGCCCGTTGCGCCTTGTCCTGTCGCTGGGCACCACTGAGAAGAGTCTGGCCCCATCCTCCTGACACCCACCCTTAAGATATTTATAGGCATTTAAAAGGTCCCCTCTCAGCCTTCTCTTCCTCAGGCTGAACAAGTCCAGCTCCCTCAGCCTCTCCTCGTAGGAGAGCTGCTCCAGTCCCCTCCTCATCCTCATAGCCCTCCGCTGGACTCTCTCCAGTAGCAATTAACGTACCGATTAAGCACAATGCGATTTACTCTTGATGGGGGCACCTTGGCGTGGTGGTTCTGGAAGCGGTTCCCGCGCTGCTGTCAGCCGTTCTTTCATCGCAGGCGTTGGCTCCAAATCCGTCTTTGGCTGTGCGCGCGCCCCGGAACGTGAATCCTCCCAAACAGGTTTTAAATAGCAAACTTTTACTTCTGTTCAGTTCCGATGAGCACACGCCGGTGGAAGATGAGGAGACAAAATCGAAGAGCAGTTCTTCAGATTCCAGCTGGGAAGGTATTTTGTTTTGCTTACGCAGCTTGTGTCGAAAACGGGAAGCTACCAAAGACGAATCTGCCGTCTGTCAGCTTCCCCGACCTCGGCAGGTGGGAGTGAGGGCGGCGGGCTCCGCTTCGAAGGAGAGCGTTTCTTTGGGAAGGTCGGGAAGTACACGGGCAGCTGGATGGTCTTCGTCTGTTCTCTAACCTTATCTCAATATTCTAGAAGAAAAAAAGAGAAAGAAGAAGAGAAGAAAGGAGAAAAAGCGGAAGGCGTCCAAAAGGAAGCGCAGAAAGCATTCTGAGGACAGCGACAGCGAGTCGGAGTCTGAGCAGAGCTGCAGTGGTGAGAAGAGTGGGCTGTGGCCCACATGCGTGGTGCGAGAGCTCTCCCGCTGCTCCCCTGAGCCCACAGCCGCGCTCCTGGCACCTGGCGCACGCTCGCAGTGCTGTGAAATGACAGAGCCGCGGCATCGATCCGCGTGGGCCCGTTCACCCCCTCGCTGGCTGTGCAGTGCCTTTTCCTTGGGCGCAAGCGGTCTGGCCTCAGGAAATGGGATTTCTGAGTTTGGCGTCTCGTGCCAGAGACGTGTCCCGTCTGTTCTCGTACCGAACCACAGTGCGGGCGGCTCTCTGCTAACAGTTTCTCGCTGTTATCTGGTGCTCAAACAAACCCCACCTGAGAAGCTGCCTGCTGAGGTGTTCTGGTGGAGGCAGTTGGTTACTCACAGTGCAGTGAACTGCTTAGTTATAGCTAATCGCCTCTTTTTGATAATACCTATACTTTCTTTCTTTTCAGATGACGACAACAAGAAGAGAAAGAAGAACAGAAAGTAGGTTTCCGGGCGGTTGTGTATAATTCTGCCTGCATGTGACTAGAGGCCAGCACCGCCTTCTTAGCAGGTGGTGAGGAAGGCCGAGCACTCGTGTCATTGGAGCTATAAATGCTGTCGAATAATGTTCATTTGAGGGATTTTCTTTAAATCTGCAGAGCCGTGCAGCATGGAGGACTTGCTGCAGACGTGGGGGAGCCGCTTTCTAAGGCTCTGTGAAGGGCAGAACAGCGGACGCGCTCTCTCTGTTCTGCTGTAAGGCGTCTTCTGTGAGACGACAGCAGCCTGTGTGCAGCCAGCCATTCTTCCTGTAGTGAGAAACTAATGACTCGAGGGTCATTCCAAGCACTTCCTTTCCTCTTAAATCTTGATAAATCGCACGTCTGTCTTTTGACTTTATCACAGGAAGAAGTATAAGAAGAAGAAGAAGAAGAAGAGGAGCAGGAAGGAATCCAGTGAATCCAGCAGTGAGGATTCCGATGACGAAACGTTTCGAGGGGAGGATCTCTGGATTGAGAGATCAAGTAGGTTCACCTGACTTTAAACTGGGATTGAAACTTCTTGGTGTCCTTTCCGTGCGTTCCTTGTTAGGTGTTGCTGACCTCTGCAACTGTTCTGGTAACAAAGAACACCAGGCACAGAATTAATCTTCCTCCTTCTTTGATGGTTGCAGAAAATACAGAAGCTGATAGCTTGATTGGACCAGAAGCCCCCAAAACTCACGCGTCGCAGGATGACAGGCCTCTGAAGTGAGTAGCCAGCTCTGATGGTACTTTGATCAAACTGAGCAAATCGAGCCTGAAGGTTACCGTTACAGTGACACGGCGTGCATCAGTGAGAAACGTGGTGCCAGAAACTCGCAGACAGCAGTGGTAGTGGTGCTGGCCTTTACTCTGGCCTGAATTCTGGTAGAAAAGTCTGGTTTATGCTTTTTAGCCTCAGTTCCTAGAAAATCAATTGTAAGATGCCTTTATTCTAATGCTCTGCAGTATTGTGACTTTATAGTGTGTCCATTACTCTTTAACCAGAAAGGATTCAACTGGTA